TGGGAGTTAAGGAAGAAGAAGGTGGAGAGATTCAAGGGAATCTTGTTGATATATTGAAGGTGGTGATAGCCTATTAGGATACTGTTTTATAGAGAAACTCAAAAGAGAAATTTGACTTTTCTTTGGAGTGCTATTTTGGTATTTTTAGGTGGAATTTTATTAATTAATTAATGGTCTAATAACAGAAATAATTTTAATGTGTGGTTTTATAGTGACGATGGTACCGTGTGATACCAACTGTCAGTGAGTAATGGGTACGTGAAGATGGTAAAAATGGTAAATTCTGGAACTCCATAAATGTCATATAATGAGAAATAAATAAATTTCAAATTTAGAATGGCACAGAAGATTCACTCGCCTAAATTCTTGTTACCGTTTGAAATACTGAATCTCATTATTTTGAAATATATCAAAAATGTTAAAATCTTATTTAGCAGCTTGTTTGGATTGTTGTTACATATTTTATTGTTACTTTAAATATAATATTTGTTTTGATTATTACTTAAATTTCATTTTATTGTATCATTAAATCCATCGTTACATAACAATGAAAAATGTTACTTTATGGAACGATCGATTTGGTGTGCTTGCGTCGTTAACTTATTTTTTTCTCATCTTGTCTTTCTTTATTATTAAATAATCGTATTTTATCGTTTATCCTACCTTTTTATATAATAATTCTACCTCGTACTTTACTTTTTCTTTATAACAGTTACAAGTTTATTCTTCACATTATTGGTGTATGGCATCATGAAACGACGACAAACAGTACAATCTATCCAATCCATTGTATACATCAAAAGAATACGGTATAATACAATACAATATTATACGATAAATTATGAAACGATACATAACAATAAAGAGTATATTAAAAAATACGGCATAATAAATTTGAGTCACATAATCATTAATTTTTTCCAAGTGAAATACATATCTGTTTCATATCTTTAATTTTTCAAATCTTTTTCTCATTTTTATCTCAACTTCAAATACTCTTTTTACTTTTCAAGGCAGAATTAGTTTAACAATGAGGTAGCTACGGAGTAGTTTTTCCCTTCAAATTTCCAGTTAAAAAGTGCATGTTTTCTCTCCATTTTCTTTCAATTGCTTTTCAACTTTATTTGGCAATTAACTCAAATTCTGCTCTAAAATCTCTATTTAAGAAATTCTATGATCATAGTAGTCTTTCCATATATTACTAGAAACTAGAAAATTGAACTCACAATCTTTGTTCATGTTTTGTTACTCAGATTGTAACTAATTACTTGCTTGAGAATATTTTATCTTTTCTCTCTCAACAAAAGTGACTGTGAAAGAGAGATTTATGGAGTGAAGCAAGCTTCCAAATCCCTTTTCACTTATGCCAATACCATATTATTTATTTATATTTTTCATCCTCCGCTATCTATTTGGGGTTTGATATCAGAGTCCTGAAGCTTTTTTTATATTTAAAATTTAAACTCGGAACCTCTGATTAAAAATGAAAAAAAAAATTATCACTTTGTAGCAATCTGTCTTAACACCGTATTGTTCTAAAATAGGATTTCGTAACAAATAAAGTTTCTCTACCATTAGCTCATTCGTTTTACTTCCATTTCTATAATTTATAATATAAGCATATCATTTCCAAATTTTGTTCTATAAACAGATAATCTTTGACATTAACAAATTATTACATTTTTTACAATATTAAATCAATTTACATACTTTCAAGACCATGACAACTGCATGATTTATCTTTTTCGTAGTTGTTCTATAAAAAATCTAATAATGATATAATAAAGACTTAACATGTATATCGTGCAAATTGTAGAATATAGAACAATAATTTATCAATACTGCCTTTTGCTTTTTTCTTTTTGCATTTTGAAGAAAGTAGTGTTCCAATGATAAAATTTTAGTCCATCATGTGTTTAACATGCCAAATATTTAATTTTAACAATCACAAATTAAAAAAAAAAAAACATACTGTTAATTAACTTTATTTGGATGATAAAATATAGTACTATTTAACTATACCTGGATTATAAAAAAATTCTTTTTGAAAGCCATTGCAAGTGTTGTCCTCTTAAGACTTGCTTTTCGGAGGAGAATATGCGAAAAAATTCCTGTTGACCAAAACTCTAAAATAATTCCGAAGTTTCCAATGAAAGTTACATGATTTTCTTTCTTCCGTACAAATTGAAGTATGGAAAATACCACCCAACCCAACAAGAAAAAGGAAAAAGAAAAACTATAATATCCCATTTATCTCTCTCTTTCTTTCTTTTTCTTCTCTTTTCCTTTTTTGGGTCCTTTTATGGAGGGTTTCAATTTTTTTTCCATAGAAAATAAATTCAAGGGCTTTTGAGTTTGATCTTGTATTTGATTAATCCGTCGTGAATGCCTTGATAGTCGCCACGAACAATGATTCTGCCACGATCAAGTAGCTTTGATCTTGAACACCTTGTATTTGATTAGACTCCATTTTTTATCTTGAATACTTGAAACTTTTTGTATTAATTATCCTTGGCTAAGATTTACGAGCCGAGCTCGAGCAGAATGCTACTAGAGTCGCCGATCTGAGTGCAGAATGGACGGAGAAGGTGGCCGAGCTTGAAAAGAAGGAGACCGAGTTGGAGAGAGCCGAGGGTGCTCGAGTGTCGGCTTTGGCGAGGGCGGCAGCGCTAGAAGACACTATCCGCGTCCTCAAGTCCGAGCAGGAATCTGAGAGGGCGACGGCCACGCTGAGGGAGGTGCGGCTCGAGGAGCGGATTGGTGAACTTGATCGGGATGCTTCGAGCTTGGGAGACCGAGTTGCGACTCTTGAGGCCGAGAAGGCACAGTTATTGGCTCAAGATCCCCCTCAAGAATCTTCCTCTGCTACTGTTCCCTGCCGCCTGTACGAGCTATGGGTCCATGCTGAGGCCCAACGTGATATATACAAGGGTTTGTGGGAGGCGGGGAGCGTTCCTGAGGCCGCTTTTGAAGATGCTCGGGCGAAGGCACGCGAGGCTCGTCTCGTCTGTAGTTATGACCCTGCGACACCGGAGGTTGGTGAGGGTGTTGAGATTGAAGATGAGCTTCCTTCCAATGACGATGATATTGGGGAGAACGGCGGTGGAGATGATGCCGAGTGAGGAAATTTTTTGCAGCTCTTGTACTTAGTTTTTTTTGTTCGTTTGTGCTTTGTTTTTATCTTTTTCTTGGGGGGTCCGCTTTTGGCCCTTTGTAAGGCGCATCTGTTGCGCATGTACATCTTTTGAATAAAATAGTCGTTTTGCCTTTGGCTACGTATCTTTTGACATTCTTTCTCTTTCTTTTTTGAAAAAGATCTTCGGATTTCCCCGCGATGAGTCTCTGATTCTTAGTTGGGAATTCGAATGCGGTTTTACTTCGCTTGATTTGAGTGAGGTCGAAGTCAGACTTGCCGACTTGGGCGAATTCAGTTTTGACTTGTAAATTCGAGAGAGGTCGAAGTCTGACTTGCCAACTTGGGTGAAATCAATTTTGACTTGTAAGCTCATATATTATTTCCGCTTGGTGATGGCCAGGGGCTGTAGGTGCGTCAATTCGAGCGAAGTCGAAAATATGACCTGAGGTCGAATTGTTACCCGTTATGAATTCGAACGAGATCGAAGTTCACTCACTTGGCGATGGTCAATGGGCGTAAGGGTGTAAATTCGAGCGAGGTCGAAATTGTAACCCATTCTAAGTACGTGAGAGGTCGAACTTTCTTTTCTCTTGGCGACGGCCGATGGCCGTAAGGGTGTAAATTCGAGCAAGGTCAAAATTGTAACCCGTTGTGAGTTTGCGAGAGCTAGAACTTTCTTTTCTCTTAGCGACGGCCGATGGCCATAAGGGTGTAAATTCGAGCGAGATCAAAATTGTAACCCGTTATGAGTTCCTGAGAGGTCGAACTTTCTTTTCTCTTGGCGACGGCTGATGGCCGTAAGGGCATAAATTCGAGCGAGGTTGAAATTGTAACCCGCTGTGAGTTCGAGCGAGGCGGAACTTTATTTTTACTTGGCGAAGGCCGATAGCCATAAGGGTGTAAATTCAAGCGAGATCGAAATTATAACCCGTTGTGAGTTCGAGCGAGGTTGAACTTTATTTTCACTTGGCGACGGCCGATGGCCGTAAGGTTGTAAATTCGAGCGAGGTCAAAATTGTAACCCGTTGTGAGTTCGAGTGAGGTCGAACTTTATTTTCACTTGGCGAAGGCCGATGGCTGCAAGGTTGTATATTCGAGCGAGGTCAAAATTATAACCCGTTGTAAGTTCGAGCGAGGTCAAACTTTATTTTCACTTGGCGAAGGTCGATGGCCTCAAGGGTGTAAATTCGAGCGAGGTCAAAATTGTAAACCGTTGTGAGTTCGAGCGAGGTAGAACTTTATTTTCACTTGGCGACGGCTGATGGCCGCAAGGGTGTAAATTCGAGCGAGGTCAAAATTGTAACCCGTTGTGAGTTCGAGCAAGGTCGAACTTTATTTTCACTCGGCGATGGCCGATGGCCGTAAAGGTGTAAATTCGAGCAAGGTCAAAATTGTAACCCATTGCGAGTTCGAGCGAGGTCAAACTTTATTTTCACTTGGCGACGTGCGGGTTTGGAGGGATGGTGAGAAAATCTATCCGTCGCATTACTTTTATTGGAGAACACTACTCGTTGCCGCATTGTTTATGCGTGCGTCGGGGTGGTCCCGGTTTGTTCAATTTTGCTTTCATTGGAGAGTATTGTGCGTCGGATTTGTTTAATTTTGCTTTTATTGGAGAGTACTGTGCGTCTGGGTGAGTCTCGGTTTGTGTAATTTTCTTTCATTGGAGAGTATTGTGCATCGTTGCATAGTTTTTATGCATCGTGGAGTTCCGGTTTATCTGGTCCCTTCGTTGCTCGGCCTGGAGAGGTCGTTGGCGGGACAGACGATGAACTTATTGCTTTGGTTACTGGGCACTCTGGGACTTCATCAATTCAAACAACGTTCGGATGTGACTCATAATG